TTCAGCCGCTGTTGAAACTGATCAGTTTCAGCAGCGGCTGAATCTGGACGCCAGTTCCGACTTACATACAGATTCAACTTAAGAACAAACCTACAGTCCCTATCTTGTACGTAACCCGGGGACTGCCTGTATAGCAGTAGGGATATATTAATGACCACCTGACCAGGACAGTGATAGTGACTATGAAATGCTAAGGGAGATTAGGGAGGCTATAAAAATGAAAAATAAAAACAGCGGCTGAATCTGGACGCCAGTTCCGACTTACATACAGATTCAACTTAAGAACAAACCTACAGTCCCTATCTTGTACGTAACCCGGGGACTGCCTGTATAGCAGTAGGGATATATTAATGACCACCTGACCAGGACAGTGATAGTGACTATGAAATGCTAAGGGAGATTAGGGAGGCTATAAAAATGAAAAATAAAAACCTTCAACAATAGGGGAGGATTTCAACTAATCTCCATATTGGCTAGGTACACATCACCTGAGGATGGGATGTAGAGATAAAGTTTCTTGACACATTAAGTGACTGCTTCTTGGAGCAGCTAGTTCTGGAATTCACAAGAGGAGAGGCAATTCTTGATTTAGTCCTAAATGGAGCAAGAGATACATGAAACTGGACCACTTGGAAATAGTGCTCATAATAGAATCAAATTTAACGTCCCTGTGTTGGGAAAACATCTCAGCAGCCCAACACTGTGTCATTTAATTTCAGAAAGGGGAACTACACAAAAATTAGGAGGTTAGTTAAACAGAAATTATAAGGTACAGTAACAAAAGTAAAATCCCTGCAAGCTGCATGGCAACTTTTTCAAAGACACCATAATAGGGGCCCAACTTAAATGTATACTGCAAATTAAAAAACACCAAGAACCAAAAAAGTGCTGCCATGGCTTAACAACCAAATAAAAGAAGCAGTGAGAGAGAAAAAGGCAAAGTTTAAATGTGTAAGTTAAATCCTAGTGAGGAACATAGAAAAGAGCATAAACTCTGTCACATTAAGTGTCAAAATACAATAAGAAAAACCAAAAAGCAGTTTGAAGAAGAGATATCCAAAAACTTAGAAAGTAATAGCAAACATTTTTTAAGTACATCAAAAGCAGGAAACCTGCTAAACAACCAGTGGGGCTATTGAATGATCAAGATGCTAAAAGATAAGGTCATTGCAGAGAAACTATATAAAATCTTTGCTTCAGTCTTCACTGCTGAGAATGAGAGGGAGATCCTAAATCTGAGCCATTCTTTTTAGGTGACAGATCTGAGGAATTTTCCCAGATTGACAGTCATTAGAGAAGGTTTTGGAACAAATTGATAAACGTAACAGTAACAAGTTAGTGGGACCAGATAGCATTAACCCAAGAGTTCTGAAAGAACTCAAATGTGAAATTGCAGAACTATTAACTCTCTGGTTTGTAACCTAACCTTTAAATTATTTTCTGTATCTAAAGAGTGGAAGATACCTAATGTGATACCAATATTTAAAAGGGGCTCTAGAAATGATCCTGACAATTACAGCCTGGTAAGGAGCAGGCAAATTAGTTGAACCTATAGTTAAGAATAGAATTGTCAGACATATAGATAAACATAATTTGGTGGGGAAAAGTCAACATAGTTTCTGTAAAGGGAAATAATACCACTAGATTTACTTGAGTGGAGTCCTGTGAACATAGTGTACTTAGAGATTTCCAGAAAGCCTTTGAAAAGGTCCTCCTTCACCAGAGGCCCTTAAATAAAAAGAATTGCTGTGGGGTAAGAGGGAAGGTCCTCTTATGGATTAATAACTGGTTAAAAGACAGGGAAAAAAGAGGTGGAATAAATGAACAGTTCTCACAATCGAGATAGGGGATATCACTAGTTACCTAAGAGTCCATATTGGGGCCAGTCCTATTCAACATATTTATAAACAATCTGGAAAAAGAGGTGACCAGCGAGGTGGAAAAATTTTCAGATGATACAAAATTACTCAAGATAGTTAAGAACAAAGCAGACTGAAAAAATTCAGAAGGATCTCTCAAAACTAGGTGAGTGGCCAAGAAAATGGCAAATGCATTTTCATGTTGATAAATGAAAAGTAATACATGTTGAAAAAAAGAATCCCAAGTACACATCCAAAATGATGACTAATTTAGCTGTAACCATTGGGGAAATCTCACTCCCCTGGGGTACAGAGTCA